AAGAGAAAAAGGGAAAATTCACAAAAACCTTAGGAAAAACCTCATCGCAAAGAGAAAAGTATGGTCTTATTGCCTTTCTTCACTGGTCCTCTCACAATGAAAATGATGCAACTGTTTTAAGCACCACACTGTCGGTTGACTGACAAAGCAGCTTTGCTGCTGTAGTTAAATACATATTTCACAGATGATATTGTAATTCCCCCATATTCCCACTCAGTGGGAGCCTACTATTGCCTTTAGTGAAGCTGAAATCTCACTCTAAAATGTTGTAGTTCTAGGCCAAAAACTCAGCAGGTGGTGATGAAAAATTCCCTTGTGGAACAATCCAGCTGACAAATACACCAGCAGTATTTGGTGTACTCAAACCAATATATTGTGGAATTAAAAATTCAGAGAGCATTCATAAAACGTCTGCATGATGTATGTGACACAACAATACCTCATTCAAACTGCAAACCTATCTTTTTAAGGCTTAGGTGAGCCTTAATATAATGTCACAGAGTGAAAAAAACTTAATGCAGTGAAATGCCTTGTAATTGCAAAAGCAGATGCAGCAGATTAGATTGAGAAAGCAATGAAGTTTGGCTGTTTTGTAGAAAATACATGACTATGCAAACTACAATTCTGGTTTGAAAGATGAGAGTTTTGTCATAATTTATGAATTATGTCACCACCTTATGAGCATTCCACAGAACAGGCAAGAAACAAACATAATACTTTTTAGCAAATGATGATGAAGATCAACAACCAAGTGGTACTTTGTCAAAATGCTTAACACTGCAATGCTATTATCAGCATACTGAGGACTTTCGTTAACAATGACATCAGCTTGCACTAAAACAAGGAAAGAAGCCAGAAGCATTTATAAACTCCAACACACAGCTTACATGACATACATGAATATAGGAGCAAAAATGCTGACAAATAACAAAACGGACATGAATGTACAAGAACATGGAGTACTTATATGAAGGAAAACAAAACTGATAAAAATCACCAGCACAGATGACAAGAAATTCGTAAGTTTTTATTTTATACCTTTCTCGTTCTGGTGAATGCAAACTAGTATCTGGTCTCAAGCAGTTGGTACTAGCACTCCTAGCCCTGTCAAGGGAGGGCTGTAGTTCACTAGTGCCAGTGCATTGCATCCAATGGTAGAAGAGAAAGAAAAAGAAAACAAAGAAAGGAATACAATGTTAGATATTAACTCATAAAATAATGCTACCTTTACAGAAAATGTAGAATTATAATGATTTAATTAAGGAAAACATAAAAGAGCTGACTGGATGACGGTGCCAAGTTTTGTTTAGAAAATAAAAGCAAACAAAAGACTGCTAGAAATTTTTTGCCAAGAACGTTGAAATGTTTAAAACTGAATGAGACAGAACAACATCCACTTGTAAGAAAGTGGAATCAGAAATATCAAACAATAAATTTAAATCCTTATTAACAGCAGTAAACTTTAAGCCAACGTAAAAGGATGTGATATGCTATATATTATGTGAAATTGCTTTTCAGTGAAGCTCATATATTCTGCAAATTCATATTAGATACCAAACAGGAGGGGGCATCAATCCTCAGGTTCTTACCTAACCAGCAGATCATCTCCAAATTTCGGTATTCGTGAATTAAGGCAATCATGAAGGAGTGAAATATCCTGTCTAATCACGGATTTGGTCTTAGCACATGCAGGAAGAGTTGAGCTTTGTAAATTAAAGTTATTTGAACAAAATGAAAATAAATTTGACATGTAACCAAAATCTTATACATAAACAAAAGAATGTAACAAAAACATTTAACATATAATTTTAACAGTGAAGACAACCCTACCTAATACAAAGTGGTTTGGATTAGGTTTTATTTGTAATGTAGGGGTTACTTTAAACAGTTATATGAAGTTATTATGATTATATCCCCTAGCTATGGAAACGTATGAAACATATTTTTTTGTTTAACAAGGCAAAACTAATTTATTTTTTTTAAGGAACTAACTACTTAAAGGGGATTCTAAACACTTCTTACCTGTACAGGTTCCAATGAATACCATTTTCTAGTAAAGGCATCTTGGGTGGCAATGTTTTATAGTGCCTAGCATAACTTCTTGAATGTGGTAGAAAAGAAAAGGAAACAGAACAACGTAAAAACATGCCAGAAATAAAAAGACAGGTAATGGTAACCCAAGAATGATGAGAACATAAAATAAATGCATAATGTTCTACTACGTTTAAGAGCTGTATGAGTAGATATCTAAATATATGTTTTTCTTCACTACTGTGACAGCTATCTGGGGGACAAATTTTTGCTAACACAGCCCATGAAATCATGACAATACTAGTACAACTCAGATCTTTTCCTTGTAATGAAAGTAATCTAAATTCCATTTATAGAGATTTCTAATTAAAATATACAAGCTGTTGTAAAGGATTAGGTCGATAATAAACTTGCTCTTTATTTTTCTCAGTGATGCCTTACTTAGACCTAAAGAAATTTTTAACCTCTTCAATAGCTAAGCATGAAAAGCTTGCTAGAACAGTGCTGTACAGTATCACAAAATTATAGTTGCATTAATATCTGGCATTTTTGAAAGTGAAAATCTTTTGGAAATGGTGTATATGCTCCAAAATCTAGCATTAATTAAATGTTATTAATAATAAGCTAATTAAAAATCCTAGGAGATCTACTACATGAGCCAGCACAGCAGCACTCTGAGATGTTACATGACAACTGTCTAATATCATCACTCACGGTACATGAGATTTTAGAAAAGGAAATGTTTGCCTTATCTAGCTCTACCCAATGAACACGGAAGAAATTCAAAGGCAGACAGTGGCTGCTGAATGGTAATCATGACCACTAAATACTTAGGGGTTAAAATAACCAAGTCCTAACAATTCTCCACATGCCCTACCAGAACACAGCTGGGGTGCTATTAGCAGAAGGGCCAGCAGCCTTGAGGATTTCAAGGCTTCAGGAACAGGATGTCCTAATAGGACATTCTGATTCCTGTTAGGCTTGGACCTAGGCATCGCAGTTACACAGTACAAACCCAGCTGCGTCGTAGACTGATGAAACAACTTTCTGTCTGGAAACGCTAGTGCATGTAAAAACCCTGAGGGATTTAACAGAGGAGCTTTTGCCCTTCTTATACAGGTTTGGCAGTCATCATTGCTGACATCTCTATCAGAAGTCACTGTGATGTTGCAAAGCTGGAATAAAGGAATGGTTGTCCATGAGGTCAATCCTGGCATCCTCGCAAATATTATTAATCCGAGTGGGTTTGACCTAAGACATGGAATGCGACAACCCATGGTTTATGGCATAGGTACGTGTCCTTCCACCATTTCTGCTGTTAGTCAATAATTGTATACAGACGGACAGGATGGACAGCTAGGACTAATACTACGCTAAACTGTTGTATTAAACTAACCACGTATCTTAACTTTGTGGCTTGCATTATCTCATACTAATATGTCTTTCGTTTAACCTGAAACCCTTAACATTTCCTTCCCATTTTAAGCTGAAGCTGTCTCAATAGTTAATTAAAACATTATTCAGCAATCTGTCTAGAAACAAGGATAAAGCCTTATAATGTCTCTAATGCGAATAAATGTCAGGCCTCTACAAATGAGAAACGAAAAAAGATGACAAGCAATGCACAGATAATTTTTTGTTGAAAGGGTTTATGAGACTATTTAGTCAAGGATGGATACTGGCGGTTTTCTGGGTATTATTCAAACTTCGATCATGCTGCAAAAGCCTGAGAATTAAATGTAAATATCTAATTATTGTCTACTATTGCCCTTATATTCACCTTCAGTACATTATTAAAGATACCATTCTCTTTTATAGTATACCATTACTGTTAAAGGGGTGAATTTGTTACCTTTCTTGATCATAAACAAATAACAGCAATAATTAGAGTAAGTAAAAAGGCAAGAAAGAGCTGTACTCTCTGAATTCAGTGTAGCTTTTATTTAAGTCTATTGCTGCCCATGCACAAGTTTTAGCTCGTTAACTAGACAGACTGGTTAGAAGATTTGTAAAACTATTGGAAATCTATATTGGCTAGGCAAAGTGCATCAAAAGTTCATAACACAGTATTTACTGTGTTATGTAAATAAAGTGAGAATTTAAGCATTGATATTGACAAATTCTAATGAAAATTATAATCTTTAAGAGGAAAAGGAAAAAGCACAGACCTGGGGGCAGTGAGGGGTGTGAAGCAATAGAAGATGCAGCAGAAAGAGGAAGGCAGGAGGAGGCAGAAAAAGATAGGAGAAGGAAAGGAAGGAGGCAGGAAAAATTACTATTTTATGACAGTAAACAGACATAAAATAGGAGGGCATGAAATAAATTAACCTTTAAAACCTAAAATATTGGGGAAAAAGCTTTTTTACGTGAAGCATGAGAATGAAACTCCTTCTACTGATAATAAAAACTTAAATTTTAATTTAACAGCTTCACTGATGCACAGATTTTTCAGGAAGTTTTTGTAATTATTATTTTACCTTTACACTATTGTGCGTTAAAACAGAACCCTATCACACTGTCTTTGCTGCTGTTTCAAATTCAGTGAAGAGAATTAAACCAACCCAAGGCATATTAAAAAAAAAACACCTCCTCTCAGGGGTAATGCAACATCTAATAAATGAGTAAGTACATTAGACAAGATGGTTTTAAAAGTTTAACTGTTTCAAACATACAGCACTGACACGAAACTCTTAGCAACACCCAGGTCCTGAGCAAAAAAAATGTTGAACTACTTGGTTGAAGCAGTCGAATGGTTGACTACTTCAACTACAACCTACATTTTTACTGATTCTAAATGGAAGATTTTCTGCACAATCTGACTTGTATTTTTAACAAGGTTAACAGACATGGTGGAAAAAAAAAAGGGGTGGGGGTGGAGGCAGAATTAGATTTGTTAGATAAAGATATTTCAGTCCTGTTTAGCTTCACAACACTGGGATAAGTTGAAACAGGGAGCTCCAAACTCTTCACCAAGAGATTACTGACAACTGAACATGAGCCCAAACTGCAAGGTTTATGCCTGGATCTAATTTACATCACAATTTGTAGATGCAAAACCAAGTAATACAAGACCCCTCAAATCTGGAGCTCCAATTGAGCCATCATTAATCAGCGTTCTTTTCTCTACAAGTGACCAAAATCAGCATGAGATCAGTTGTCACTACAAGTAAAGATTGTTGGCTTGTGTGTAGCTGTAATATAAACATAAAAATACAAGTAAGAGAAAACATAAAAATAACTAAAAAGAAGTGCTTGAAATTATAACCACACTGTCATGCATTGGGAGATCAGGACTTCTGTGACTAGACAGAAAATCTACCACCGCAAGATCAGAATTTCTTCAACTGCTTTAATCCTTTCTACCGAAGTTCACAAACATATATACACATCTCAATCTGAATTAAAACAAATGGAAAAGAACAACTGACACTGGGATCACAATGTACTAGGAATTTCTTTACTTACTGAGACTAAATACCACCATGGAAAGAAGTTGGGTACACATAGACAACTAACCACATGTGTTCATGATTACCAAATTCCTGTATTTACCTGATGGTATGTAGGCACTCTGCACTTCTTCCTCGCTTTGCTCTGGGCAGCATAAGAAGCTCACTGCACAGACAGGATGAGTGGTGAGTGAAACAGATATAATTATGAAGCATTAGATGACATGGGTTATGCCAATGATGCGCAAATGAAAACAAAAAAAAAAAAACAAGAAGCTTCCAACCAGATAGATAGTCTGATAATGTTCAAACCCAGATGCACTTCTCAAAGAATATAAGCCAAAAAATGCCTGCGGTAACTACATTTTCAATAAATGCCTTTTACTGAAAGGAATTTGTGTTGCCTAATTTTGTGGGATTTCTCCTTTTAAAATTCAGAAGTACTTTTTCAGAGCTCTTCATCACAAAAGTAGTCCATAAAACAACTGCATTTCTCTAATAACCACCTTTCTCATTAACTAATTACTGAAGAAATACTTCAGAAAAAAAAAAAAAAAGAATTAGGCTGCTGTTGGGTTTTGGGTTTTGGGGTGGTTTGGGTTTTTGTGTGTGTGCTTATTTTTCTTCCTCAGCCACAACACCACAAATGAAAAAGCAGGAAGGGCTTCCTACTAACTTACTGAAGATTGGTTTATGACAAGACAACCAGTAACCCTTTTGGGAAAAGCAAAAATGTATGTTCACTGGAAAAATTACATTTGGCCAAACATAAATTCTGACTCATAGCTCTTAACAGTACTTTGTAATGCAATCCTAAAGAAACAAAAAAAAATGCTTATCAGCTGTCACAATTTTTGTTTCTTATTGTTTCCAACTAAGAAAATCAGCCATCTATTCTATTTTTTGTTTACTGTAACCAACACATACAGCCAGCAAGATGGTAAAATTAATACATATTTATGCCTATGTAAATATGACTATGATAGGAAATATCCCTTGAATTAATCTGCTAGTTTTATGCACTTAAACACATTCAGAAAGACCAAGCTCAAAAACTCCTAATCATCATAAAGACGAAATTAAAGCTAAACTTCACGGAAACATGCTATTTTAAAAGAAGCAGGGAATCATATGAAGTACTATGGTGACAAAGAGAGAAAAGATTACAAAATATATAAAGCAGCAGTTGTTCAAGGTGTGTTGTGCTTCATGTCATTGTAAAATGACCAACTTAATTGATGACATATAAGTAATATTTCTCTAAAATTCAAAACTGAGTAGCTTGAAATAATGGCTTGTGAGCCACATGTGAGATTTAACTTTGCATCTGGAGCCACTAGCCTGATTTTGATGCAACAAAATGTATTAAGTTGAACTTTCTTCTTTTTTTTTCCCCCCTAAGAAAACTTTCATTCATAATCTCAGAGGACTGACAGAATTTATATTTATATTCATGTTTCCAAATAACAAATAAACACGCATTTTAGGGAAAAAGTTACCATTTTCTCAAGAGTTGTGAAGTAGATGCAAAGTCCACACTAAATCATAGGCTACTTTGTTAATATTTACTCTACCTTTACTAAGCCAAAGAATATCTATTGTAATTGGCCTATGGCAAAAGTAACACAGAATTCATCCAGAAAACAGATATAAAGTAGAAAATCCACAATGAAATCTTCAAGAAAAATAATCTATCACAGTAGATAAACAACAATATAAGAAGATATTCACAATTCTATAATAGTTTAAGTCTGGTTTGGAGACATTAATATAAAAGCTATTATTCTAAAACAAGTGTTTTCTAATGTGAGTGTTTTAGTAGTCATATTAACAGATTTTATTTCAGAATAAAAGAAACACTAAAAAAATGAAAAGGGCCATGTCTTTGAAAATTGGATGATGATCCTATCAGAATGATAGGTGATCATCAGATGATCCTATCAGATATCCATTCAGAACAAAGTATACTGCTTAGCTAGATTTCCTAATAAAAAGCTTTATCATACTACATACTGTAGTAAGAGACTATAATAACTATTTTTACGAGGATCTATTCAGAATATCCAATATTAATCTGAGATCAACAGCAGATCACTAAGCAAATGATCAAAAGTAATCAGTAACTACAATTTCTGCCACATAACTGTTGGGTAATTAATTACCTTTCAAGCCAAGTTTATGTTAGGTATCTACATTAATGAATTTGTTTAGATGAAGGGTTCAGTAAATGAACAACACATAATACTTACACTACTATTGATAATAATAGATAACACTGAATAAAGATTATTTTATTTTTTTTTAATCCTTGGATGTGATAATCTTCCTGAACAAAAGCTGGTTTGACCTTCCCTATGCTGCTGCTCTTATGTACTGAAGGACAGTGAAGCCTGCAAGAGTTAAACAACTGAAGAAATCTGCGGAAAGATGAAAAGGAAAACCAGGAAAAAGAGACCACTGCAGACGAGATTATTACTCAAGGAGAGTAAGTACATGGACCCATCTTTAAATCCTGCAAGTAATGGCTGATCTTTAAACCTGTGAAAACTGTTTTCTGAGTGCTGAAAACAACTGAAGACTGTCGTACTCCTCTAAACAAATCCAGCAGCACATAGCTGCTGTTGCTCTGGTCGGATGGCTCATCTCCAAGAAAGCCTCAGTGTAAGCCCTGCTCTCCGAGCATAATCCATGCACATATCATGATTTACATCATGGTTTGAGGCTTCACAGAAAGAAAATCTTCTGTACAGTTAACTGTCTATATTTACTTCTACTGACAAAAGTTAGTTACTTTTAAATGTCTCTTCCTCTTCAGATCTGCTGAATAAGAAATCTATTCAATAAGTATCTTCAGCAATCTTTTGAATATATCACTACTTGTAATAGATAACATGAAACATTTGCAACAAGTGGAAATTACTTGAATTAGCCTAACTATAAATCTGACTACTACATTTAAAAAGCATTTCAATTCACCTCTGAAAGGAAATTCAGTCTAACAATCCAATTTAGACAATTCTGTACATACTTCTTGCCTATAAAGTTGAATGTAAAGTTCCAAATAGCTCATTAGTTTCTACATGTATGTTATCACATTAAAAAAGCAAAACAGGCAAGATCATTTTTAAGTAAACACCCTGCAAACATTGATAATCTGTTGTGACTGTCATCATTACGTTTCCCAAATACTAAACTAAAATACCTTTTTTAACTTTTTTCAGCTATAAACTAAACAGAAACTCTTGTTCTCTTGCATTTTATTTTAATAATTTCCTAGATATCTGAAAACAATGCCTACTAGGAGAGATCAAGTGTTCTCTGAAGAACATAGACACTGCATGTATTCCAGGGAGACGTGCATGTCTCATGCATCTAAGATTGGAGATTTTCACTAATTACAAGCACCGCATCTATCCTTGCTATACTTGGGTGCTGTACCAAGTTCACCAGAATGTTACATAAGAAGCTGTGAGATTGCATATATACATGTCCAAAATCTATAAGCACACGAATGTAAATCATAGCATATGCAACTCCCAATCAGTAGGAACATATGTCTAGTAATTTACAGGCTACAGAAACAGATAAATTCTGAGTTATAGGAATAGCTAGGGCATATATGTAGATTTATGGTTTTCTAGCAAAAATTTCTGTGCTTCAATCATGAAACAAACACCAGAATACTCTAGGACAAAACCCCAAGAACCGTTCGTTTAGGTAGCTGCTATTACTGTCAACAGTTTTACCACAAAAGACCACTATATGTCACTTGTTATGAGTTATCTCCCTTCCCCACTACTATCAGTCATGTTTCTAGTGAACACTTGAAAATTAGGCAAACTGACAAACACACTTCTAAACATTTTTCCAGGTTCAGGCTGACAATGTACCTTTCTTGATCAGACAAATACTGACTATCCATGTCTCTGGATCTGTAATCAACTGCAGTTCTGGAGGCATCATGGTGTCTAGTTGGAGAACGTGATCTTCTCATTTGATGAATTTCATCTAAACTCCTGAAAGGTAGAAATATGTATGAAAATCTTGGTTTGTTTTTTTTCATAAGTAACACAGCTCAGTGGATTACAGTACAAGTTGGTTGAAGGAATTTTTTAATCATTAAATTGTAATACATGTCTGCTAAAAAATGTTGCATCCTAAAATTAAAAAAACCACCTCTAAATATAGAAAAGCAGCCATTTATACTGCATTTAGAAGTATATGCCTGTTTCTGTGTACACTGACAGATACAGTAATGGCATTTCCAAAGCCTGTAGTTAAAGAAAAACTGAAATAATAAATGAATGCATAATATTTCACATGAAATTAAGTTTTACACATTTGTAGATTCACAGCCAGATTTCTAGAGGGCTGGTTTTGGGCTGACAACTTTTTGATACCTTGCAGGTATCTCCAAGCATTCTTTAAGAAATTCTGGGACAGGATACGGGAATGTGCAGTAGATTTTATCAGTCTCAAACTAAGTGCTATACAAAAGAGGTTTTGTATAAATGAAGGTAAGCTCTGACCTCCATAATAGTAATTTAAAGCTCTATTCACATGGAAAAGAACAAGATAAGAAACTACTTCTTGAAGGGCAGATTCTTCCTTTGGTTTGATAACTGCCATTGGAACCAGAAGTGTTAGTTTTCAAAGTATAAAATTAAAAGATGGGTGGAATCGACTAAAAAATATTTAATTTGTGCATCATGCTTGTAGATAGAAAGATACAAGAGCATACACAATTGTTTGCAAAAGCAGAACAAGGAGCTAGCATTCTACTATTAAAAAAAAGTCAGTGCCACAGTCTGTTTTATGTACAGCCAAACTCTTCTATCCCTTAAGGATGCATTTCTGAGAAATACAACAGCAAGTGATTTGATGGGTAGTGAAACAGTTTCATAGACAAAAACTGATGCACAAGAAGGGGGTGCATGCAGGGACTTAAGAAGCACACAGAATTTCAATGCAAAAAAAGCAGTATATATGGCATGGAGGATGGAAAGGAAAAAGCAAGATCAAGAGGATTTTCAACTGGGAGGAGAAGCTGGTTTTCCACAATATACCATCATTTTGAAACATCAGATGTCTGGTATAAAATGACCAGTGACGGAACTCCAAAAAAAA